CCCCCCCGAAAATCACCCCCAACCACCCAACTTTTTTTTTATGCACAACACCCCCTACGACATCCCCTGCATACGCGCAACCCCGTGGCGCACGCGCGCTGATGTTTTGACGTGCGCACGTGCCTTAAAACGCTTTGAGCGCTTTTGAGCGCGGCGCAGGGGTCTTTAAGCGCGCGCGCTCATACGGTTTCATAGCCCAGTGGACTGACGGGACTGGACTGGACTGGCTGGTACCGACAGGAGCTCCCACGCCAATGTAGAATGAGCCCTGAAACAGACAACTGCTGGGGTATACCCCAGCGGACTGACGGGACTGGACTGGAGTGGCTGGTACCGACAGAGGTACCGGCCTTGACTGGACTGCCCCGAATACAACACAGGCCTGTGAGGACAGGTCAAGGGGCTGGTCTCACAGGCCAACCAGAGGTCCGCTACACTGCTGATTTTGCGCTTTCAATTGCCCTGGAGTAAATAAAAATGTAGTGGTGGTCCCGGCAGCCACTGCGGACTCTGGGGTTTCCGAGTTGTTTGTGAGGAAATCCCGGGGCCAAGTCCCACTAGCGGCGTTGAGTTTCCTCAACGACTGCATATGGAGGTATTTGTGGACATGTGCGGTTGCAGAAACTAAACGTGATTTTCTGCACATCTCCAGAAACACGTCCAGATTCCGACGTTCAGGAAACTCAACGCTGCTGCATGTGGACGTATTTGTGGAGATGTGCGAGTGCAGAAGAAACTAAACGTGATTTTCTGCACATCTCCACAAACACGTCCAGATTCCGACGTTCAGGAAACTCAACGCTGCTAGTGGGACTTGCCCCCCGGCCTCAACGGGGGTGGGTGTTATAATGGAGGCTCCTTGCTTTCGGTCCTCCCTGTCAAAAAAAAGAAACAAGTGTCACAGTGGCCATGTCAAATTTTGCCGGCAACAAAATCAGGGGCCGAGTTTAAAAAGGCAATGAGAAAAAAAAAGATGCGTACTACCAAGAAAGATGAAATAGATTGAGAGAAGAATATAGATTACTTAAAAAAAAAAAAAAAAAGGCAATTTCGGTAATAGCGCAGCGGTACTTTTTTTTTGCCGTTTCTGAACTCAGGCTCTGTCTGCACACCACAGTAGACACGACACTGGAGTCATGTTTCTTTTTTTTTTTTTTTTTAATTTGGACCATTTCTCGATTTATGCGTGTGTCATCCCTGCGTAGAGACCATTTGCTAATTTATCCTTCTCTGTATCGTTCCAATTTTAACGGATGTCCTGAAGGACTGCAGTTTTTCTAGCTTTGTGACATCCACACTTTTAGCAGACCTCCGTGATGCGTTTAATCGCCTTTTCAACCTCGACGCGCGATTTTGTTGAGTGTGATTTGTTGCCGGCATGTGTGTTTTTTCTCCCTTCTTTTGTAACTTTGTGACATAACAAACTTGCCCCCCCAAGAAAGTATTATCCCCCCCCACCTTTGCTTCCCCTGTTGCAGGGTTCAGCTTACGAGCCGTCAAGAGATACTGGCAGGTCACGCCCCAAGTGATCTTCAATTGCCATCTCAATAATCCGTGGAAAAAGTGACATCTTGCCTCCTGTCTACAAGCAACCTTCGTAGGTAATTAATGCTCCTTTCTTCACATATCTACCAAATCCTCCCAGGTCCCAGCCTCGACTTGCGTGGCTTCTTCATTTTTCTCCGATAGACTTCTCTCTCTCTCTCTCTCTCTCTCTCTATCTATCTATCTATCTATCTATCTCTGTGTGTGTGTGTGTGTGTGTGAGTGTGTATCACATATAAACCAAATCGGAGGGCGTGCTCTCCAAAATAAGCACTCAGAAAATCAAGGGTCGAAAAATAGACACCCTAATACTCACAGGAAAAGTATCACATGGCCCCGGCAGGAAAACCTCTGGAAGAATTGTTTGCCCCCAAGTGGGGCAAACCGCCTGTGGTACGCCCAAAAGAAAACTTTCACGTCATTTTTGCACCCTGGCCATAATAGCATTACAGGCCCAAAGGGCCGCATACAAAACTGGCGTGAAAGTTTTTCTGGGTCTTTTTTTAAGGGCGTACCACACCCGGGTTGGTCTTAAACCACCAGTACTTGGGCTACGCCTTAGCGTTAACGCTACGCGATTTCCGCGGCCGGCGGGCCCGATAAATCGAATGGACAGGCCGTGCTGCTTCGAGATTTGGGCGGCCGGCATGGCGCGCAGTGCCCAAGTACTGGTGGTTTAAGCAATCACAAAGGTTTTGCCGCCGTAGGATCTATACTACTTTTCCCAAAAATAAAGATTCACGAGTCACGGGTATGGCAGAATGCTGCTAGCAGGGGTCCCCTCTATATAGTCTTAGGAGTAGTGGTAGGAAGGTAGTGAAAGGCAAGAAAAGAATTTGAGAGAAGAACATAGTGTAGTTTTTAAAAGAATTAAAAAAATAAATAAATAAAAATGCTGCTATGGGGGGAGCCGAATGGTCAAACGGGCCTCGTTTTTGGGTATTTGGCATGCAAATTGAAAAAGGGGCCTTTTCTTTTTCCGCCCCCCTTCCTGCGCCCTCAGCCTCCCCTCCCTGCCCTCCCTGCCTTTCCCTCCCTCCCCTTCCTGCCCCCCCCTCCTTGACATCCCTGCTTTCCATCACCCTCCTCTTTTTCTTGTACGTCCTTGCTGTCTCTCCTCTTGTTGCCTGTGCATTAACTACAAATAGTGGCAAAGATGCTGCGTCGTCAAACAAAGAAGACATACAGAGCTCTGCTTGTCTCCGTTCTCACAAAGAGAGAGAGAGAGAGAGAGAGAGAGAGAGAGAGAGAGAGAGAGAGAGAGAGAGAGAGACAGAGAGAGAGAGAGAGAGAGCTCAGAGCTGTGCTGGTGAGGTGTTTGCGACGTGGCCATGGCTGCTGTACGGTTTGCTGTCGTGATGCTACTTCTCTTTGCCTGCTCGGTCAGCTTCAATGACCTACAATGTGCTCGAGGCCAAGAAGAGGACACTTATCCTACGCCTACGTTCCCTGGGTATTGCTCCACAGCTGTTCCAAGGCTTCCTTGGGCAAGTTTACAAGAGGTGTGTACGCCGAAGCAAGGGCCGTTCTCAC